AGGACTGTACTTTTCCAAAAGAGATGAGAGCCCTAATTCAGAAAATGCAGCCCCTACTAGTAAAAGGAGAAAGGAAACACAACAGAGGCAGCTTGTTCAGGATCATATGAGAAGTGGCAGAGTTAGTTCTCTCAACCTCCCCTCCCCATCAGGTGTTGTAAATAAGAGGCCATTCCTTTGCAGTCTAATTGTTCTTGTTGTGTCTCTGCAGCTTGATCTGCTGTGGACCCGCAAACAGAACGTGATGTACAACTTGTTTGACTGGCCCACCCAAAAGCACTCCAAGTTAATCATCCTGGCCATTGCCAACACCATGGACCTGCCAGAGAGGATCATGATGAACAGAGTCGCCAGCAGGCTGGTATGTCCCAGCAGTTCTGTTCCTATGCTCTAAAATGAGAACAGGTTAAATACTGGGTGCAATCAAAAGTAATCCAGGACAAAGGTAGGATTGGTTATATCAGAGGGTGAACAATGGTTTTTATAATTCCCTCTTCAGAGGGCTGATAATGAACACGTAAATCTTGGCAAAGTAAGTTTAGGAGCCTTGCTTAATGAGATGTTATGCTCTGTAAGTACATTGTGTAAGAATGAATTAATACTGATGTCTTTTTAAATATATAAAGATCTGGATAATCAAATGCTGTGCTTCATGGTTAAGCTGCTTACTGTAGAGCTCTGGTTTCCCTGGCTCTTTCCCCTTTAATTCCAGGCACCTAGTTACTTCTCTGTTTGCCATCATCAGCTGGTGGATCTTGTTGGATCCCATTGGACAGAAAGTTGGGTGCACTCTACACCTGTGTTGAATATGTTTTCCTGGGTCATTTCTGCATCACTCTTCTGAGGAGTGATTTGCAAAAACAGTGCTCTGTGCCTCCATCCTTCTGTGACTCCAAAATAGCTCCCCAGAGTGTGAATTGCTAAACCCACTTCAGATCAGCTGAGTCCACAGAGTCACAAGGGAGAAGAATTTTGCATAAGAAATACAAGGCCTCCTGCAGAATATGAAAGGCAGTGCACCATCTGAAACACAGATTTGTCCTCATCTGAGAGCAGTTCTTATTAGCTTGAGCCATAAGAGGATTTTTAATTCTTGGCTGAAGAATTGCTAACATGAAGTCAATAGTGAGACTGTATATACTTAGACAGATTTGCTAAAGGAGAGATGAATATTTTTTCACAGCTGCTGCTGCTACAGTATTAAAAAATAAAGTGTAAAGAGTTGTAATCAAAATAGTTTTGTACAGGGGGGCTGTGATTTGTTTAAAAGTTTTATAAGAGAAATTTGAATTCTAATAGCAGCTGCACTTGCTCCTCGGGCCTTTCAGTAGGGATGTGCAGCCAGTGGCCCTCGCTGAGTCACAGTTTTGTGGATTTGCACATTCATTTCACAAGTATGATTGATTAAAGCACATCACTTGGAGGGAAAGGATGTGAAAAACTGATTGCTCCTACCAGAGAAAGTAAGACTTAACCATACAGGCCATGCTTGAGCAGTTGGGAGTTTTCCAGCACTGCAAATGCCTCTCCCTGTGTTGTGTCATTTACTTTAGGGCCTCACCAGAATGGCCTTCCAGCCCTACACCTACAAACAGTTACAGCACATTATTTCATCCAGACTGAAGGATGTGAAGGCATTTGAAGAGGATGCAATTCAGCTGGTTTCCAGAAAGGTGAGCACAGAGCAAATACAAGTTCTTAACTTTTGCTCTTGGTAAAGAGTGGGAGGGCAGAGGAGAGAGTTTTTTAACAGTAGTTGGGCTTGGTTCTGTGGTTGTTTCCTGTATGGGAGACAAGTGGGGCACAAGTAGCAGATCATACATTATTCAGGGTACTTTCTCAGAAAACATTGCTAAAGCAGTGTCCTTGTTTTTCCCACCCACTTTGTGAAGGCAGCAGTACATTCCAAGAGCTGGAGGCATGACAGCAAGAGTCGTGATAATGCATAGTGATAAGATGTCAGGTTTCTCCAGTGTTTGGCATAATGTGAGTCATTGGATCTTCTTGAAAAAATAGTATGCCAGTGGCAGTGGAAATATCCATGTTAATCTTCCTTCTCAAGATGCTTAATGCCTTTCATAATAGATAGTACCTGTTCTGTTTGCAAGTCTTAATACTCAGTTGTACAAAAAATAAATAATGCATTGGGGATCAGTAGCTTCTCAAATTGAGATGTGGGCATTGTTAATGTGTTATGTCAGCAACTATATATTAAATTAATCTATTAAAATTGTCAGAACATCCAACATCATTGTAGGATAAAAAACCCTAATAATAAACGTGTCAGAAGTAAATATGTTTTGTTAGGAAGGAACCACCTTTTTGTAGGAATAATAGCAATGATATAGACTGAATAATTGCAGACTGAATTGATTTTTCTTCAGAAAATCTATGAATGTAACTTGCAATTAGATTTTCTAAAGGGTTTCTCATTCTTGGCTCTAGCTGAGTTCTAGGGCTGTTTGTTACCAGCATCTACTGTGAAAACTAGGCCAATAGTATATCTAGTGAATGTTCGTAGCTTTATTAAAATTATAAAGCACAAGTGAAAGGAAATAGTTTCAGAAATTTGAGACACCTAAATATTTTCAGGCACTCGTAAATGTAAAATTCACTTTCCCAGATATTTCTTTGAGACCTACTAAAATTATTAGTGTACTCTTAATATTATAATGAATGTGGAAAAACTGGGGAGGCTTTTGGTGTTATGCCCCCAGACATGAACCTGGATTGTGGTAAGGATCTTTATTGATAATTAAATTGGTATCTCTGAAAACTTTTGGTGTCGAAGTGAATTTCTCACCTTTAATTTTTTTTTTCTTTAACTTCTGACTTCTGTAGTTCGAGAAAAAAAGTTTAGCCTTGAATTTGTGATGCCCAGATCAGGGTGGGGGTGTGATGCCCAGATGAGGCTACTGGTTTTGGTCAATAGGATGGTTATTTAGAATCTAGGATTGTAGTAACGCAGCTCAGAGTGACATTGGTCTCCTGTTGGGTGCTCAGGGTGGTTGGGTTTTGTTTGTCTACTGATTCTTGCTGAACTCTTTTGTGAACTTGAGGGAAGTTTTACTCCAAAGCTGTCCTGTGTCCTTCCAGGTCGCGGCGCTGTCGGGTGACGCCCGGCGCTGCCTCGATATCTGCAGGAGGGCCACAGAGATCTGTGAGTTTGCCGAGCCAAAGAGAAGCCCTCAGATAGTCGGGATGGCCCATGTCACCGAGGCCATAGATGAAATGTTCTCATCACCATATATAAATGCAATCAGGTACAATTCTCAGAGGAACTGCTTTGCTTTGTGTCTCTATCACTGCGCTATTTTTTCGAAAACATCTCTTGTGGTGCCAGAGTTGCAGGCTGGAATAAAATGGTTGAAATAAACTGGGGTAGAAAAACAATCTGGATTTAAATATGTAGTTACCAAGCAGTTTCCCTTCCTGATGTTTCTCAAGTTCTAAACTTCACAAGCTGATTTTTGTCTGTTTGGTTTTTCCACTCAGGAATGCCTCATTGCATGAGCAAATCTTTTTGAAAGCAATTTTAGCAGAGTTTCGCAGGGCAGGAGTTGAAGAGGCAACAGTTCAACAGGTATGTTCGTGCTTCAGAGTATTCTTATTTTTTCTCTTAAAAAGAGAGGGGCGCTGTCAAAATTATCAGACAAAAGTGTAAATATTTAAATACTTGGGGTTTTAGTCCTAAAATTTGATGGAAGACAATATGATGGCAAGGTAATTTGGGGCATGGCTACCCAGGCCAGATGTAGAGTCTAATTTAATGCTACCACCTGGGTTTTACTGCACAAAAAGCTTCAGTCTGCACAGTCCAGGGGAGAAGAGGCAGTAACAGATAAATGATCTAATTAAAAAATAGCAGAAAAGGTAGGTTGCTATATGTTCTGATTTTTGGCGGTATTAAAAAGAAAACCATAGCATGGAATGGTTACTTCCAGCACAAACTGTTAGGACTTTGTCAAGGAACAGCAGTGTGTGCATTTCATGTGAAAAGCCTAGAGCCAGTTTTTCCTCCTCTGCCATGGGTGTGGAGGGAAGGAAGCTTCTCTTTATCACCTGGGTGTACTTGGTTGCAGCAGGATGTAAAGGTGACCTGTGTCCTTTTCTCTTTTTTCACAGGTGTACCACCAGCACATGGCTCTGTGCAGGATTGAAGGGATGCAGAGGCCCACTGTGTCAGAAATGATGGCCATTTGCTCCAGACTCGGTGCCTCCAGGCTCCTGCTGTTGGAGGCCAGCAATAAATACCTTCACATGCGGGTGCGACTGAACCTCAGCCAGGACGATGTCATGTATGCACTCAGGGAGGAATAGGGCAAAAGAGATTTTATCCCTTTTACTGTGTGTAAAGGTTTTAAATATTGCCTATTTTTATTTTTTTAAACTGTCCATAAAATGGAAATAGCTAAATGTATTTTTATTAAAATGCTTTGCCAAAATGTTTGATGTCATAAAACACTCCTTTTAATAATAAAGCATTAATTTCAAAGCATTTTAAATGCTCCAACCTCCTTTGTTTTTAAAAATATTTTTATGTGCTGGTGACTGGGTCCCCTTTCGCCTGAGGTGTGTGAGCTTCAAATGCGTTGCTTTGAAATGGGTTGCCTGAATCCCCTTTCTTTGTCAAGACTTGCGTTGTCTTTGGCTTGGTGGTTTCTGTAGCTTTTCCTCGGTGACTTTTACACTTGACATTGTTAGAATGTCCTTAAACTTTCATTACTTGACATAATTAAGAGGAACTTCCAGTCTGCCATCCGGGCTGAATGGTTGAGTGGAGGAGACTGTTTTGCTAGCAAGAACGTAAAAATACCGCAAGAAACGTGTCATTCAGGTAACGAGCTCTTTTTATTGATTAATATCAAGGATTTTCTCAAAGGTGTCTCCTCGGGTAGCGCAGGTTGGCGATGCGGACAGTTGGGGCACAGCGCGGGCACCAGGCTCGGGAACAGTCGCCTGAGCCCGCCCCCCCTCAGCCGGTCCCGCCCCTCGGCGCAGCCGCGGAGCCGCCGGGGCCGCGCCGGGCGGGAGCGGAGCCGAGGTGAGCCGGGCCCGGCTGTCCCCGTGCGGCCCCTCCGCCGTCCTTTCCCCAACCCATCGCCCCGCCGGCCCCTCCCTGAGCCGAGCCGGGAGCGCTCCCAGCCCACCTCGCTGAGGCCGGGGGTCCCGGCGTGCTGCCCGCCAGGGCCGGGCGGAGCGCGGGGTGCGGCCGGGCCGGGCTCCCCGCGCCCTGGGGAGCGCGATCCGCGGGGCCGCCCCCGCTCCTTCCCTCTCGCTGTGTGGGGGTGCCGGTGGGAGCTGCGGGTCCGCGCTGCCTGCCCTCGTCCGGCCCGCGGTGCGCTGGGACAGGCAGGGTACTGACTTGGGGTTTTGTGTGCTCTCAGTCCCTCAGAGAGACAGCCCTGTGAAATTCATGAACCAACATGCTTGGCAGAAGACCTAAAAAGAGCCCGCAGGCAAAGGGCCAGGGAGCTGCAGTTGCGAAGCAGGTAAGGAGGGCAGAGGGCCAGGGAGATGTTCTTGCAGAGCAGGTAGGGAAACCTCCTGCTCCCGCTGCTCCTCAGGGTAGGCTGGTTCAGAGCTCTTGCTGATCTTTTCCTGCTGGAATCTCCCATGCCTTAATCAAACTGCAGGACCATGAAAAAAATTAAACTGTGCGGTGCCTGTTTTCCTGCTTTCTCCTCTAACGCATTCTTCTTAAAGTAAATAGCTGATATGCAGCAGAGGGAAGCCACATGTTGTAGTGCTGTAATCTTTGCATGAGACCTCATGACTCATGCTTACAGTATTTTCATAGCCCAACCACTTTGAGGTTTAATAATAACTTCAGTAGCTCTGGGAAGGCTTTCCTGACATCTCTAAGAAAGCAGAAATAAGAAAACCAGAATATCAAGCAAGAACTTCAGGAGCATACTTGGGAGAACAATAAGTTGCTAACCAGAGACAGTTAATTTTAATTTCTCTGTGTACTGTCATTTTTTTCTTGCAACAGATAGACTGATAAGCCTATACCCCTTCCCTGTAGCTATAAGTGAGCTTAGATGTGTCTGTGTGTTGGGGTTTTTTCATATTATTTACCTTTGGATATAGTTTCATAAGCCCTGTGGAGAGAAACATGATTTAGTCTGGGCTGGCAGGTGTGAGAAGTCAGGCAACGGTGTCAAAATTAGAAATACAGCCAGGACAAAATTCTGTGTAGAATAGTAAAGAAAACCAGAGTATAGTTAGAGGTAAAGAATATGTTACAACCAGAATGGAACTTTAGAAGCCTTCAAAGGTAGAATAGAGGCAAGTAACAGGTGGAATGATTGGAGAGATATATGTATGTATGTGTGTGTACATATATATATATACACACACAGTGTGCCTTACAGCATGATGACTTTTTCTTAAAACAAATGGCTTGTACACTTTCAAATTAACTCAGTTTAATCTGGTTTTGTGCAATGTAGTGTATCAGTTGCAAGTTTTTTGTAACTCTTTTTTCCTGTTGTATTAAACATTTCTTTAACATTATTAATTTAATTGGAAAATGTGCTTTACTGAATGGATTGAGAGACCTGGAGCTGGTGCTGCTGGATTCTGTTTTTGACTTAATTTGTCACTACGCTGGGTTCACTTTGTACACTTGCAGTGTGGTAATGAATAGATCAAATATGCTCCTGCTCCATTTTGCACATTGAACTTGAATCTTTAGATCACCATGATAAATATTCCCTATTTAAATCTTGTCTTGATCGTCTTTCCATTCTATCCCAGACTGCAAATACATTAGTTTTGTTCTATGGCCAGGAGATGGATAAGGCAGAGGGTGCCTGGCTGATCTACCTGGTGCCTTATGGAATGGCAAGGGCAGGATTGAGGCTAGTAAACAAGTTGCTGATGATTTTGAGTGCTGTTGCTGTAATCTCTGTTTCTCAGCTATGCTTCACATTTTCCTTTGGGATTATAAAAGAGTTCGGGGAGGGACACAAAATATTTCAGGGCAGTAGCCACCAGCACCTCAATTTCTACAGGGTTAAAAGAAAAAATTATTGCACATACTAGTTTATAAACTGAGGCAGCTTCAGCTTCTTGCAGCACTTCAGATCCTTGAGACAGGAGGAGGTTGTTAACTCTAGTAATAATGACAACTGATGTTTTTTTCTGTGCTGGAGAGAAGCTCAAGTGCTGCCTCCTTGTCCCTGTAAGGATCAATAAGCCAACAGGGGCTTGTGCTTTGGAGAAGTCTGAGCTGCTCCTCATCCTACCTCATAGGATGAATCTAACTCAGTTAATTCATGTTTATAAAAAAGCTTAGCACACTTCAACTAAAATGTTTTTTTCTGGGGCAGTTAGTACCTTAACCAGCAATATAAAAATTGTGATCAACTGACATTTTAGCAGAATGCCTTTTAGACTCAGACATCAAGATGTTTCTCTGATGTCCTGTGGCATGTTTTGTGCAGTTGAGTGCTAACCCCCGCTGTCAGGTTGTGTTTGCTGTTATTAATATACTCCCTGAGATGTTATCCCTGAGCTGATGATCTGTCCAGCTGGGTGGTGCAGTGTGGGCATTGCTGGCTTTTAGAGGCTGTGTTTCCCTTTGTGTGCATGTGCTTCCCGTGTGTTCATGATTTAGAAACTGAGCTAACAAGGAGTACAGAGCAGTTCTGTATATAGAAAGCTTCTTCAGGAGATAAGGGTGAAGTCTCTGCACTGCCCACATGACAGACCTGTTGTGTGTGAACAATGAGTGAATATTTTTTAGCTTAGCTGTCACAGGCACTGCCCTGAACTTCCCTGATGGTATCTGCTTTATGAGGCTCAGTAAAACAAACAGCATTTTATTTTATCTTGTTCTGCCAGACTGTTGAATAGGCTTGATTTTTAAGAAATCATAGTTTGTGTGGAGTATCTGTGTACTTATGTACTTACATCAGTTGTAAGTGCCTGATATGCACTGTTTTGGTTATAGAAGTGGTATGATAGGGGACTGTAAAAAAAAAAAAGTAGAATTCAGAATGCATGAAAATGTCTAAATAATCCATGCAGTGTAATGTTTTTGGGTGTCATCTTTGTTCTGACTGCAGGTTTTTTTTACTCTTCTTTATTGTTCTTTCCCTTGACTCCAGCTGGGGCTGTTTGTAGAGTTCAATCCTGAGGAGATGCTGTTGGGAGCAGAGGAAGGTGTGGATGATGGAGACCTGGAAGCAGAGCTGGCTGCTCTCACAGGATCAACAGTAAAAGAAGGGAAATTGAAACCAAAGGGGAAAAGTAAGTTAAAATATTTTATTTATTGGCAACCTGAATAATTTATTAAAGTTACCTTTAATAAATTTATCCAAAGTTATTATTTATCTAAAGAATCTGTAGGTTTATCTAAAACGTTTTCTTTTCTGTCAATGGTAGAAGCTGAAATTGCAACTACCCTTTCCTTTCCTTTGAAAGATTTAAGTTGTTACTCCACAAAAAGGGTAAGAGGTTTTTTTGTCCATGCTCTTGTAGACATAGGAAAAAGATCTCTGAGGGCCAGCCAGTTTAGTGACTAAATTAAGACATGCTTGTTTAGCATATGAAGTCCTAAAAAAGTGTAGTAGGTGCTGGATGATTTCTAAAGGGAAATTGGAGGGTGGGTTGTTGGTCATCTGGTTGTTCTTCTGGTTTTGTTTAAAGAATGAATTTACTGAATGATCATTATATTTTTAGTTACTTGGAGTCTGTAACCAAAATTGAATCCCATTTTTAAGAGGGAAATTCTGGAACTGATGGAATTGTTGGGAGAATCCTGTACCTTGTGTTGGGAAAATTCTGTAGCTTGTGTTGTGTGGGAGGTTAGTGTGTCTCTTGGAATGGATCGTTACCATTCCTAATATTTTAAGGATCTGTTACCTTTGTCTGATAGTGTTTGCATGCAGCTATGCAGTGTTTCTCAGGATTGCTGGAATCTACTGTAAATCAAGGCTGCTGCTGAGAGGGACACTAGTGAGCATGCTCTGCTTCTGAGCAGATCCGTGTTTGTGGATAAACATGGGTGAGCTGGCTCAGGAAACCAATCTATGAAAATAAACTTTTGTTGTGCTGGGCTTTCAGCTGAATCAGGTCCTTGGTCTGGTTTGCTCCCTGCCTGTTTGAGCTGCAAGGGAGGGGTGGCAGCAAGTGGTTGAGGTGGGACAAGGAAAATGGGACCTAGCCTGGATTCCAGGTGTGTGAGGTGCTGGAAAGAAGGGTTAGGGCACCTACAGCCTTATTTGCAGCTCTGCAGTAATTTGCCTGTAATGCCACACAGAGCAGCAGGGAAATGAAGGATTTTTAAATATTTAGAAAAAGTGACTCTATAAACACCGTAGTCGATGAGAGACAGAGGAGGTGTTTGTCTAAAACTAAATTCTAAATAATTTCCACTTCTCCAGATTAACTCTTAGAGCTAGTAAGCACAATTGTACAAAAAGCACAATAGCAGAATTTTGACCATTGGACATAGGTTATCTGTGGCTAAAACATGCATGTTTTGAGGGTGAACCTGCATCAGGAGCTCTTGAATTGTTGTCAGCTTTTCAAGTTATGACTTCCTTCTCGCCCTGATCATGTCACTTACTGTGTTTTTTCGGTCTCTTTATTCTGAAGAGGAAAATGAAACTTCAGACAGTGCAAAATTAATGTTTACTGTGCTTTTTAAATGTATGTGTTATGGCTCATAAAATGATTTTCCAGAATAATTTGCAGCTGCTCTTTTCCTGGTAGCATCGGAAGTGTATAGATTAGAAGCTTGTGGAAGATGGACAACTGGACAGCTGGCACTGGGGACTCAGGAGAGCTGGTACATTGTAGGATGGAGAGGAAAAAGGATAGGGGAGAAACAGATCCTGTCTGAATAAGGACAGAAGAAAGGGATCCAGTACAACACAAACTGGTGCTCAGTTCTTGTCTGAGCACAAGGTGCAGTAATTCCCTCCTGGATTTACATCCTAGAGCTCTGACGGGTGTGGGGAAGTGATCTCCTCCTCCAGCTTGAACATGCAGGCAGCAAAAGCTGTACTGTTGCATCATCTTCAGCACAGAGATCCCTGCTCCCCGTGACTGAGAAATGCTGGCTGGGCAGCCACTTGTGTGTTTGAAATTGTGGCCTCAACTTGTGCACTGGATTAGAGCTGAACAGACCTTCTGAGGAGGCTTGATTGGATTTTTGCCTCTAATGGGGTTTTCTGTACAGCCAGTTCCTTTGGATGTGACCTGGTGTCTGAGTTGCTCATATATTTGACCCTTAGCAAAACTCTGCAATGTGTTTGATATAAGTACTGAAGCACTGATAGGGTAAATTAGATTGTTTGAACAGAAACAGCTTTGTACCTGGGTTAATTTTCAGTTGATACAGCAAATGCAGGGAGTGAGTGGGATCTGTTTAAATTGACTGTAAAGCTCTATCATGAAGATGTATATTTTGTGCAGCCTTCACTGCCACTGGTGAGTCACTTCCCTATGCAGACATATGACTGTATCAGAGGCATTTCCATGGACAGCTGGGATTTGTGTGCAAACAACTTCACCTTTGAGAGCGTGCGGGGGAAGTTGATAGTTTAGGAAGATGTGGTTGGCATAGCATGAAGCAGAGATGAGAACTCAGCAAGGAGAAGTTAAGTAGAGTTTTCAGGATGAAGAGCAGAACCAAACTTGCAAAATGAAGGAGCCAAGACAGATTTGGAAAAAGCAAAATCTCATGGGCATGAGACAGCAGTGCAGAAAATGTGCAAGTGTCTTACTGCCTGCCTTGACTGTTACTCTCAGAAAGAGTACTATTGCTTTTCCCGAATGCTCACTTCCCCAGTCTGACCTATATCTATGAATATACTGCATTTACCTATGAACTTGTCTGATAAAGGGGACACAAGAGGGGAAGTCACTGCTCTCTTTAGCTGGTAACAAGTCCTTTAGGATTTATATCCAGTGACTGCATGAACTGTTACTTATGGTTTATGGCTCCTTGTGCTTTGCTTTTACAGCTCCTCTTCCCATGGATCATATTGAAAAGATGGCTGCAGAGTGTATGAAGGACCTGAATGAAGATGAGGAGGAAGATGCAGATGATGAAGACTTGGAGAAAGATACAGACCTGTTGGTATGCATAACTCTGTTAGCAATAAGTTTTAGTATGTATTTTTTGTATTTTTTTTTAAACAGAACTGTATTTTGCAAAAATGTCTGTTAACTTTGTGGTGAGAAACTAAAATACCACAAAAGCATTATGTTAGATACAAGTCTTTGCAGGATCCACCCCCCTGCACACCAGAGTAAGAGAGTTTCCTAACTAACATTCTTAAGTGTGAAGGTCTTAGAGAAGTGGGAGAACAGCAGGAATCCCACTCTGTGACAGCTGGTGAAATACAGCCAGGGAGATTCTCCTTAAAGTGATTGCTGTCACAGTTTTGCTGCTGCTTCAAGTAGTGCTTGGCCTGAGAGTTTGTCTCTCAAGAAATTCTTGGTAATTTCAGTGAGTAATCTACTTGGCAGGATTTGAGGAAAGATGTTAAAGAGGGGTTTGGACTGCCATTGTTAGTAGATGCTTTTTGGGAATTTCAGATTTAGGTTTGCATGATCTCTGTAAAAGTACTTCTCTGAACTTCTCCAGCTTCAGATCTCCAGCCACAAATTTGTATGGTGATCCTGAGCTGCAGGGTGGCTTTTCAGTGGCATCTGGAACCAGTTTCATTTAAAAATAAAAAATAAAATTAAATTTAAAAAAAGGCTGGAATATAAGATCTTTAGACTCTTCACTTGGGTTCAAGATCCAGCCAAAGATTTTGGAACCTGAGATTTTTTATTTTTGTCTTTTGAGAACATAGAAAATTTTGAGGAAAAGCCTTTTGTTGGCATTTACTTTTACTTTAGGCAGAATTGCAAGAAGTTCTGGGGGAGGAGGGTGAGACAGGAAGCTGTGAGGATGAACTGATAGCAACAGAGCCATCCCCACCTGAACCAGAGGATGAACAAACTGAGCTGCAATCACAGGTAGGAATGAGCTTCATGTTCCTCACAGTTTTGCTGAATCACTGTTGTCATGCTGGTATGAGGATCACAAACAGGGATCTTAGACAGGTCTCCTGTCTTCCAAGAAACGGAAAATTGCACTGTTGCTGTCTTCTCTGTGGAAACCAATGCTGCCAGTCCTCATGCAATCAAATCCTTTATTCAATTACTGCATGTTTCTGTTGTGTGTTACAAATTCGAATGTCCCTGTACATTGGGCCCATTAGTAAATGAGGCTGAGAGAGTTTCTGTAGAGATAATGGCAATAATTACATCAGTAGCCATCTGTAGGGTCTCTGTAGCTGTGGAGACTTTGTAAGTAGCTACCCATAACTTTGCTTAGGCTGCTTTTGTCACTGAACTAATTCCAGGCTGTAGGAGGAGGAAAAAGAGCTCTTGTTGTAGAAGCAGGTTGAAGCCCAGAAGGGAGCAAACTAGCGTATTTTAAAAATAAGAAAAGGAAAAAAAATCAGGATTTGTGCCAAAATACCCCTTCACACCCTCTGTTGTGTGCGTTTGAGAGACTTTACTGTTCTCTTCACCTACTCACTGACCACATGGCTCCAATTACCCTGTGACTGTGAGTTTTCCAGATGTCTCCACCCATTCTTCTCTATGATGCCTTTGAGGGAAAGCCCAGAGGTGGATCCAGGGCCCATTAGTGCCGCACAAATGCTCCTCTGTTTTAGGGGCTGTTTCTTCCTCGTGCGCCCAATTCTCGGGAGCGGGTGTAGAACAGGAGTATTTGTATTTCAGTGCTGTGGGAAAACTTGTGTAGCTGGATGAAATAAGTGTTCTTGACTTGTTTTATTGTTTTTTCTGAGACCTCCTCACTTCCTGCTGTTACCAGTGAGCTACAGCAGACCCTGGAGAGGAGAATTGCCGACTACAGGACAGCGATTTCCAATGCCAGGGAGTCGGGTGAGGGGGCCAAAATCCGCCGCTACGAGAGAGGCCTGAAGGTGAGTTGGCTTCACCAGGTGTGTGAGTGAGGGGGAGGCCAAGGCAGTTCTCTGAAATGTCGCCTTTCTGGGTGTGTGAATTTGTGGTCTTTTCCAGGGGTGTGAATTTGTTGAAAGAGGAGAGAGATTTTGAGATGCTGCCTTGTGTTACTTTAAAAACATTTGTTGTTTCTTACTACCAACCTGATACAGCAAATACACAGATAAGGTGTAACTTCAGCTGCCTTTTGTACATCAGCTTTGTTGCTGTTGAGTGTGGGTAGTGGTAGCTGTAGGCAGGGTTTGTGGTACATGCTGGATTTAAACCCACCAGTCGGGATCTGGATTGGACCTGTGATGACTGTTCAGTGTTACCTTAAAGCAAAGTTCAGGAGCTTTCCTAGGACATACACATTCCAGTTCATCCCTGTTGCCTTCTCTTGGGTACTAACCTTCTGCTCAGTTCTGTGAGATAAAGGGAAGGGGGACCTTTCCCTGAGTGTCTTGGCCGTGCTTGAAAATGAATAGAATGGGATTTCTCATTCAGGCAATTAAAAGCTGCAGCACAGAGCAGTTCCCCAGCCTTGCCTGGTTTCAGGCAGGTGGCGTGCTTGCAGTGAGTTGTGCTTGGTGATTACTGCTGTGCAGGGCCTGGATTTCCCTGTTTGCTTTCATCTGCTCCCCTGCATCACCTCAGGCAGCAGCTATGTCTTGCTGAGCAAAGCTTTGTAGCTCAGATCTGTGCTCTGAGAGAAGGATGTCATGGCTCACTAGATACCAGGTGTCTTGTGGTACAAGGGGAACAACTGAGGCCAAACCCAGGGGAGGAAATGCCCAAGAAAAATGTCCCTGTGTGTCCCCTGCCTGCCAGCTCTGAAAGGAATGTGCACGAAACCACCTGACCTTTCAGAGAGCAGGAGGAATGGGCAAGGCAGCTATTTTGTCCAGTAATGAAGCTTAGGGTGCTGTTTGCCACTTCCTTTATTTTTCAGGGAGGGGAGTTTCCCTGTGCCTAAGCAGTGTAACCAAGCATAATAGACTAGATCTCACTTCACAGCTCAAAGTTCCTGTCGTGTCCTATCCTTAATTAGCACGATGATATGCCAACAAATGGTGTAGAGCTCTCTCTTGTATGTAATTCTTGGAACTGTGAACTTTAAGCTCAGTGTTTAATTCCATTTCCACTCAGTCTGTCATCCCCCACGTGTGTGGGTTGCTGTACTGGTCTGAACCCCAATCTCACAGTCAGTTTAAAGTATCTCTGCCGCAGTTACTTAATAGGTCAAGCAGTGTCATGGCTGACCAAAAATAGCAGTGATTCTGGCACTGATGGGATTTCGTCGTTGTTGTCTTTCTGTGCTTCTGTTTCAGTTTCTGTGGACAGGCAAGAAGTAAAACTTTTGGTTTGGATTCAAGTTCATGGTGATCTTTTGTCTGAACCTTAAATTAAATTTAAAAAATAAAAATACTGAGGAAGGTAATATTTTGGGGGGCGAAAGGGTTTTCAGAAAAGGAGCAGCAGTTAACCCCAGTTACAGATGGGGAGATCTTCTTACCCTGGGTCACCAGCCAAAGCTCCATTTCCTCTCTTAGTATTTAATGGCTTTTTTCTTGCATTAAATGGGTTTCCTTCCCTAAATCCACATAGGCAGTGACCTTTCAGAGCAGTGTGTTTCATTTTGTTTTAAAGACATAAAATCCTTCTGCAGTTGGTATGAACAGCTTCCTTGATGACTTTCTGTGATAAACTTGATTGGGTCACATCCAGTAGTTCTGAGTGTTGAATAATTGAATTTATGTAGTTTGGGTAGCAAGTCCTTTGCACTGTGTGGCTCTGATATAACTGAACACCTTTCCCTGGTGCTGAAGTTGCCTTGCAGAAAAACGGGGGGCTGAAGGGCAGCAATCTGTAGTGTGTAACAGATCCCATCACATATAAGGGAATGAATTTTTGTTTTAGTGATTTTATGCTAGTAGTGTGTTTGATGGAAGTGCCTGTTGTTGTTCCATCTCTGTCAGACACTGGAAACCATGCTGGCTGCAGTGAAGAAAGGCAAAAAAATCAATGAGGAAGAAATGCCACCTCCTGTTGCAACAGGAAAGAGTTCTTACATATCTCAAACCACAGGAGTGGAACCAGAGAATTCAGGAGATTCCCCAGAGGATAAAGCTGAGTGTGCTGCAGATGATGAGCAGCAGAGCTCTCCTGAGGCAGTGGAGCAGCTGGAATCAGAGTCTCTGCAAGGTCATGCTGCCACTAATCCTGCTGTGGAAACAGGTACTGTGACCTGAGAGGAGAAGCAGTTGCAACACTGTTTTAATGCTACCTCTCCCCTAACGTTTGTGTTGTGTAGCAAAGCACTGCTTGTGTTGGAGCTTCCCTGCTGAATGTCTGAGAGCTCTCCATGGAATGCTGAATTTCTGGCAGTGGAATCAGTTGTTATTGCAGAGCTCTTATATGTATGGTATCAGTACCCTTAACTTTTCCTGTGCTACAGTTTCTCCTTCAATATTTGACATGTGGTATTCCAACCTTTGAATAGTTTTGAGATATTGCTTAAAGACCTTTTTTTTTTTTTTTTTAATTGGAAAAGTGGAACTGTTAGGTCTGGTAGGACCTCTGACTGGAGGAAGAAGAATATCTGTAAAATGGCTGATTCAGATGTGGGCTGGCATAGATGGGCACAGCAAGGGGTGCACATCTGGGGTGCTCTGTGTGTCTCAGCATTGTTCCATCCTCACAGATCTCCAGCACAGCAGCACACGAGCAATGCTGCTCATGAGGCAGAAGGAGTACAAATTAGCAGCTCTAAAAGCCAAGCAGCAAGGGGACCTGGAGAGAGCAAAGGAATACATGAGGGCAGGCAAGGTATGCACACAGAAAATCCTGAGTGCTGAACATCCTTTCTGCTATATCCACAGGCATTATGTGGCAGATACTCATTTTGGTGGCTGGCAAGTCTTGGACATACTCGAATAAATCTTATGTTTTGATTTTTTTCTGCATTAGAAATTTAATGTGGTCTTGGAAGCTTTGGGCAGTGGACAGCCAATAGACCTCCAGAATATGCCTCCATCTCCTCAGGGTAAGACTTGTCTTAAGGAAACTTTTTCAGAAGTCTCTGTGCTGTAATGGAAAGATTCTGCTTTTGATTGCACAACTATAAAAAGAGCTGAAGATCATTTAGGTCTGAGGCTTTCTGCTTATCCACATTCTAATCAAGACCAATGAAGGAAACTGAGGTATGATTACTTATATTGAAGTTACTCTGTGAATTACAGGTTCAAGTAAGTATTGATGTCTCATATTCCTGGTTTTGTAACTTCAGATAATAGCCACTATTTGAAGTGGAAAGGAAAGAAGGATAATGGCACATTCTTAAAGTTTACTGTAATATTTGATAGTGTTATGTGTTTAAACAGAAGGTCATCACATCCAAATTGAGAGATTAATAAAGAGATTGCAGTGCAGTAAAGTCTAATTTTTTTAAGCAAGTTACCAATATTAATGATACCTTACTCCTAGTAAGAGAGAGTTTGGGTTTTTTTAAATAGATACCATATCCTCAACAGTTAATACTTGGTCTGTGCAGCCCAGTGTTTAAACAATATCCTTTAGTAGATTGTTTTATTCTAACAAACTAAATAACAGATTATTTCAGTAAATCGTGAGATTCATGGCACAAGTTATAAACTGATCATTAAATGGCATTACAGAGAAACTTCAGCAAGCACATAATCTTGCCTTAAAAAGTGCAAGACTTTTGCAGCAAATAATATTTAGTTTTCTGAAATACCTACTGTTATACAATGCTAGAAACTGGAGTTTCTGAATTGGTGGTATTAGTTTCTTCCCTTTTCCAGCACATCTTTTGTTACTAGGATATTTTAGTCAGTTAACAGTCTTGTTCACTCTTTTCATCTGCCAAGAAAAGAAGTTATATTCTGGGGAGAGAATTCTTAGAATGCTTGAACTGTTTTTACTTTTTTTTCCCCTTCAAGCAGCCCTAACCTAAATTAAATCAGCATTGGAGATTTTCTGTTATAAAGCATTTGCTCTGAACAGTGGGAACCTTAGACTTAACTAGCCACGGAGATACTGTTTTGAAGCCAAAAAGCTTTCAGGAAGTTGATGTGATCAAATTGATGGTTTTCTGAGTATCATGTGTTGACTTGCTGTATATGGAACACACTGTGAAACTTCCTGCTTTCCTTGCTTTGCAGATCTTGAAAGTTTAGGAAATGTACAAGATGCATCCAAGCAAAAGGTACCGCCTCGAGTGGGAAGTTCCCAGGATCTTGCAACAGCTGAACCTCGGTCCCAAGAAGCTTCAGGTAGGACTTTTGGATTTTTGTAGCAAGTCGTGGAAATAATACAGCTGGGAAGGCACTTTAAGGTCTGCCCTGTCCCACTGAGCTGCAGCAGGATTGAGGAAACCCGCCTAATATTCCTGAGTATTGTTTGCTGCTGATCCCATCTGTACTTTTATTCTGGATCAGTAACAGAAATAAAGGTTAATAAACTTCCTTTAGAACAAAGGTGTTCATAATAAAACTTCCCAGTGATGGTTTTGTCGCTGCAGAAAGTGAGGAAGGGGAGTAAAAAGGCAACTTGTATATTTTGAAATCTTCACGATATAGCATTTCATTGTCTGTCTCATTCCAAGATTCCCTGCAGCAGCCAAAAACGGTGCTGGAGGCGCTGCAGCAGCGGCTGGACAAGTACAAATCAGCAGCAGCACAGGCCAAAGCGAGCGGGGATGAGCGGAAGGGCAGGATGCACGACAGGATTGCCAAGGTAAAGCCAGAGTGTGGCTGTTTGTGTCCAGCAAAGACAGTTGAACTAGTTCTCTTGCTGAAGACTTTTTCAAGGCTTGTATTGTACACAATTTGTGTATTGTCCTTCTGTTTGAAAAGAGGTCCAGTAGGGAAGCTGGAAAGCATTTGGAGGAAGACAGAGAGACAATGCACATATTGTAGCAAAATACTGAGTCTTCTGCAGTGTTTGTGCTGGTTAAATACAAATGATTGCTAATTTATAGTCAACTCCAGTGTATGTCTTCCTGATTGCAGCAATACCAGGATGCCATAAGAGCCCATAAGGCAGGGAGAAAAGTGAATTTTTCTGAGCTACCTGTTCCTCCTGGTAAGTGTGAACATAAAATGCCCTAATACCTAAACTTTTGCATACCTGCTGGGCTCAGAAGGGGTTTGCAGATATTGCCTCCTCATCCTGTGGGACAGCTCCTCCTTTTTCTCAGTGAGTAGGGTGGCCTTGCTGTTTGATAGTATTGTGAAACTGCTTATTGATGTGCTCCCAAACACTGACACTGGTGAATATTCCTGCCTATTGACTATTTGTTCGATAGCAGGTAAAAGTAGTCTACAGAGACAAAACAAATCATACCCATGGTCACACTTGGATAGGAACTGAGCCTTCTTCTGGAGACCCTGTGTCCTGTTTATCTTCTTTAGAACACAAGAGTGCTGTGTCTGTAAAAGTTTGGGCAAGCTCAGCTGTGAATGCTCTGCCTCTGATTTGCATGATACCATTTCTCCCCTAGGAAGCATCTTTGCTCTTATGTTGTACCTGATGCATTCTTCTACAAGATACACTTGGCCCTGCAAAGCCATGCCTGGATTTTTTAAGTAAGAACAGACACGGACCTTGTGGCATTTTTGTCACTGTCAGATGTTGCAATGGCAGCACTGCAGAGGTGGGAAAGAGGGCAGTGCCAGCTCTGTCGGGTCATGGACTGCTTTGAAGGTTCCCTGCTTAGAGCTGGCCATGAAAGGGCATTTAGCATGTCTTATTCTGGAACATAATCCCTTTTTTGGTAAACACCAGTTTCTGTAAGAGTGAGATACTCCATACTCCGTATTTACGCCTCTGGAAACACGGAGAACTCCTCAATTTCCTTACATATGAGCTGCATGTTTTCAGCCATCATTTAGAGGCCATAGGATTTACACTGAGACAACCCTCAGGCAGCCACTGAACCAGAAGTCAATTGTCCTGGGCTGGCAGTGCCTTTCATTGCATCTGGGTGGTGACAAGTACCAGCCCTGGCCTCCTTGGAGACAGAAATGCTGCTGAGTAATGGATTGAATGTCACAGGGGGCAGCAGCACAGGGTTCTGTGTTCTGCCTGCCTGAGTACCTCAGACTTGTGCTGTCCCCAGAGCAGCCATCTCCAGGTTTAGAAGCAGTTTAGTCATTATTTCTTAACACTTCTCATGAGACTGGCAACAAGAATACCCGCTACACATTAAATGAGAGAAATCTTAAGACATTTTATTGTAGGGACTTTGAGAGTCTCTTGTTTGAAGCTGACACTAAACTGGTTATGTGGAATTGAGAGTTTATCTTCTTCCCATCCTTAAAAGAATAATGAAACAATGAAAAGAATTATTCTTCCTACACTTTGCATTTAACTACTTTGATTCTGTTTTACTTTGCAACCTCTGCATTGCAGTAGCTTTTCAGCAGAGACTGTTACCCAGCTGTCAGCACTGGATTGTTTGTTACTTTGGAGGTAGCACTAATTTTCTGCTGGACTCTCTACCTGCTAAGGTGAGGCAGCAGTGAGAGGGGGAAAAAATGAGACTAAATTCTTTGCTGGTTCTGGGGACATCGTTACTACTGAAGTCTTGAGGTTGTGAGGTTCGTTGGCTGGCTGCCAGTTGCTAAGCTTGGAAAACTGCTCTGCTATTACATCATTTTACTCTTATCCCTTTAAGCCTGGGTTTCTGTGAGAGATCTGATCTTAAGCCCACCAGTGAGACTTTGTCTAGCAAGGCTTTGTGGCCTTGACCTCAGTCTGGTTACACTGAATTCCAAAATATATTAGATAATAGGTATTTGGATAGAAATAGTTTTACAGAAAACAAGAAATATGAAAGACATAGTGTAGGTCATATGCAACTCTCTACTTCTGTATTCCTTTCCTACCCAGGGTTTCCCCCTCTTCCTGGTGTTGCAGCAACAGATGGTGGCAGCACAATAGCCTCTGTTCTGGAAAGTGCCAGCAGACTGGCAAACATGGAGGAGAATGATGAAGAGGAGGAGGTCAGTATTTCCTAGTGGGATGTGTTAAAGTTGAAACGCTGTCTCTTGTGGCAGCAGACATGAGGCCGTTTGATTTCCAGGGAAGGGTACTGAGATGAAATACATTTCCCAAAAGTCTGAAGAGTACAGGATCTCAGTAGTAATTGCAGTTTGCATTGTATTGTAGGGGACACAGAGAGGTGAGATGTTATTACAGTCAGTACCCTCAGAGTCTGAGTCCAGGGTTTGGCTCTTCCATGGCTGTCTTGTATGTGGGTTTTATTTTCAAAGCAAACACTTCAGATCCCCTCCACCCCTTTACATTGTTCTAAAGTACTTAAATCTGTACTTTTATCCTGCATCCCAGTAGCTTCCCATGTTTGTTCTTCCCCAGGATGTTCAACACTTATTCCTTTTTGTCAGGCTGCACCAGCCTTTAGACTTTGGTTCGATTTCTATGTCTCTCTAGTTTTGGTTGACAATTGTTTGTGGTTTCACCTGGAGTAGCTTTTAATGGAGAGAATTCCTCTTGGATGATTTTTTTCTGCATAGAGCTGCTTTTTAAAAAATCACTGCCTTGTTCAACATTCTTTTTATTCTGTCTGTGGTGGAGTTTTGATGCTTGCTTGGGTCAGCTACCTCCAGAAGTTAAAATTTGCTTCTGGAATGCTATGCTCCCCTCAAAGGAACACCAGAAGGCTGACACAGTGATAACCATGGTTGTTGGTGCTTGGGGTGCTGTCCTCAGCTCTGGAATAGATTTTATGTGTTTAATGTGAAATTCTCCTTGTTTTGCCAGAGTGAACCTCTGCCCCAGGCCCCAGTGGCCAAGAAGCCTGCCCAGCTGCCTGGGAAGCCCACTCAGGTTGTGAAGCCCATTCCAGTGTCTGCTGCAGCTGAGGAGAGCTCCCCTGAGCACCTGAAACGAGCTGCATCACCCTCCACCCTGGACAAGGCAGAGTCCCTGGATCATCTCCCTCCAGCTGGTAAGGTGAAGGGATCACCATTCCCAGTGATCCACATGCAGGTCGTTTGCTGTAGTTTAGTTTAATACCTTGGTAAAGACTTTTTCATTTTAGTTTAGGTATGAGCCTGTGAGTGTGTGGCATAGATTTCCTCTGACAGGAGCCCAAATATATACATGTGCTGGAGGGCAGATCCAGACCAGCCATGCAGCTTTATTTCACAGAGATAGCATGTGTAATTATATGGGTGATTGGGTTTTTAATTAATTTTGATGTAACAAGTGTATCGATTCATAATGTTTAACTTGCTCACAGTAGAACTCTGCATATACTCTCATTAAAGGGCTGCCAGTGTGAATTATTCATTGATCCAGTGGAGCTCCTTACATCACACACTGCTTTCTGCCTGCTGCTTCATCCAGGGATCTCACACTGCCAGTGCTTCATCAATCACTGCTCTGCCTGTTGCTGAGGTCACTGAGCAGTTGTCTGCACAAGATTAATTGTACAGATAGTAGGGGACAGCCACCACCTCATGGTGGGATTTGGGCACACACAGGCACTGCTCAGGCTCTCAGTGATGCCTTGACTGTAATCCTATCCTCCTGTTCTTCCCTGGCTGATTCCCTCAGGATGAAGCAGAGCTACCTAGTTGGCTGATGCAGGTTCTTCTGCAGAGTGCAAAGGCTTTTTTATACAGTGCCCCTGTGATTATCTCATAAATCTTCTCTCTAGAAAACTCCATTACTTGTTTTATAAAGACCACTAAAGTAGTGGTTGTCCATTTTGGCTTGAAAATCTATGAATCCTCAGGAGTTTCCTGGGTTTTGCAATTTTAGCTGACATATTAATCTCCTTAGTGAATTGCCCTGGACTTATGCAGTGAAGGAATTGATAATACCTGGTCTCTGGTGTTACAGTAATCGATCCTGGGTATTTCAAGTATTCTAAAATAAGACCAGTAAGTGCAACAAGAACCTGGACAGAGCCATACCAACATGATTTTCCCAACAAAATATCAGTACTTTGCTGTTGAAAAGTGTATTTCACTAGGCAAAGTGCATTCATGTTACCTTTATCCCCTCAGAATTACAAACCTGATAAATCCACTGTAAAAATCCTGTATTTTTCTTCCTGAAAAGTGCTGAGTGTGGGCAGGTGTGGAAGTGGAATGGAGCAGTTGCACCTAAGGCCTTAGTTTGGGTTTAGCTGGTTGGGCAAACTGCTCCAGCAGCAGGACAGCTTCTGACTCTTCTTCCAGGATGGGGGAAGGTTGGTCATCATCTGACAGCAGTGACCATGGTGTGAGAGGCACTGGGGTGTTTATTTGCTGAGACCGGCACCTCTTGCAGGGGTTGTTCAGCTTGTGTAACCATGGATATAGAGTGCAGTGGTGAATACATCATGAGTATCTTTGGGAACAGCTGTAATCAGCTCCTGCTGCTCCGTTTCCCATGAGGAAGAGGCAGGATGCACCAACCTGGCACCATATAAAGCAACCTTACTTGTGTAGTTGTCCTTAGTGTTTTAAGAAGGAAATAGGAGACTTAAGAATTAATAAGAAACTAACAGAACAAGGAATTACAAATAAGCAGAGGTGGTATGTCTGAGTGTGCCTGCACATTGGCTCATCTGAGGTTTTTTTCTGACACATCAGGGAAGAGGGAAGGAATGAGTCCAGAGGATGCTCATAATATTTGCTGTTTTTTAGAAGTTACCATGGCAAGCTGAGAGTTTGAATTCAGCTGCTGCTTTGGACCAATCAGCTGTGCTGGGGTCTGTCTCCTGCCTGCACATTAGGGGCTGTAATTACACTTGTGACACTTGTGAAGTCATATGAGGTTTTTGATGAAGGATGCTGTGAGAGAAGGAAGTTTGTTTCTTTTTCTAATGCTTGAAATTGAAAGTGTCCAAGAAACAGTAGAGTGCAATGAGGAAATGTCCTTATTGCAAAGGACATTGCAATAAGGGCATTTCCTCATTGCATTCTGTAAGGATATCTGTACTTTGATATTTGATATTGTGCTTTGATATCTGTACTTTCACTGTACTTTTCCTGGCTACAGACTGAACACAGGAAACCTGTTTCAGGGGCATTGCCAGTGTCAGATGAGTGAGGATTTCTGTACAACTGTTTTTCAGTCAGGGAACAGCTGGAATTCTTGGAGAACAGGAAGAAACAATACCTGAAGGCGGCCATCAAAGCAAAGAGGGAAAATAACCTGGAACAGGCAAAGACATATCTCAGAACAGCGAAGGGCCTCGACCTAAAGATTGAACAAGCCAAACATGGCAAACCTGTAGACATTTCCAAGGTTAGTAGCACTGGTAATATTCTGCTGTTTTTCATATTCTTGGACGTGTAAGTGCTTACTTTGCCCTATAAGAGCTCTGCAATGTGATGTTCTTGTGTTGCAGCTGCCGTCACCCCCTACAGATGATGAGGGCGATTTTATCTTCGTGCACCATGAAGATGTCAGACTGTCTCAAAAAGCAGATGAAGTATATGCACAGCTTGTAAAATTGCTGAAGGACCAACATGAGGTGACCATTTACTCTTTTTTAATAAATGTTTTGGGGTTTCTTTTGTACATTTCTCTGGGGTTTATTAATATAATAATATCGTCATTGTTTCTGTGGAGTCTTTTGTTTTTCTTTTAAAATACTTATGGTTTTGTGTGTCCTAAAAAGGAGAATTTTCAGACTTGGATTCTCTTATTATTTGAAGCCTGAGGATGTGCTTGAAGGCTTGGGACTATCAAATTATCAATGTTAAATATGAGTGCTCAAGTTTGAAAATAGTTTTTTGAATGATTAAGACTAGTCCTTGGCTGAGCCTCATATCTACAAATCAAGTGATTAAAAAGTAATAGGGAGAACAGCTCAAAGAAATGCTGTGCTCAGCTTTGGGATTGAAGGATGGAGTGGTGGATATTTTTGAGTGACTTGGGAGAACTCTTGGCTTTTCTTAAATTAGGTTGTCATGAACCTCAAAACCCTCTTCCAATCATGAATCTGTGTGTGAGGCTCACTGTGAGTGCATCTGTGTTTGTTTGGTTCTGTTTGTGTTTCAGAGGTGTTTGCAGTATTCCAAGCAATTCATGCATCTGGGAAACGTAGCAGAAACAACTCGGTAAGACCCAGTGACTGCTTTTAGTCATGCCACAATGTCACTTCAGGCTTGACTCTGCCTGACCCCGAAAGATGCTGGGGATTGGGTTGGAAAGCTTCTCCTTGTGTGAAAGAGTCAGTAACTATGGCTCCTGCACCTCCAGGATGCTCTCAGAGCTCTGGCCTGGGATTATTTTGGGGCCTGTATCTGGCAGAATGCTGTTCCATGTCCCAGAGTGGGTGTAGCTTTTTTATTGGGTTTTTTTTCCCTTTTCTATAGGTTTGAGAAACTGGCACAAGGCTGTAAAAAGGACATGGAAATCCTCCAGCTTGCACGAGCACAAGGAATGGATCCTCCAAGCCATCACTTTGAGGAAAGAACCTTTAAAATGATAAGGTGTGGAAAACCAAAAGGATTTCTCAGGCAGGCTGGAATGACTTTTCTGGTCTTTCACTCTTGTTTAGGGAATTGTGGGCTTCAGCAAACTCAGATGGCACTCAGGGTTAGGAAAGGATACTCTCATCAACTTAAATACAAAGAAGTTTTCTCTAACTTCTCTTGTGGGTTGTTTTCAAAATACCTCCAGCTTCATCTCTTACATTCTGTTACTTCAGCCACTCCTCCATCCTCTGTATTTCTCCCTCAATGCTGTTGCCTTTTGGGCTTTGTTCCTGGCATGCCTGAGAGATATTTTTAGCTCTGTTTGTGTTCTTTCCTTGCTCTGTTGTATTTTGTGAAGGTGATTTCTGTAGGAGTGCACTGTTGAAAAAGGTCTGCCAAATACCTATGGCATCCTAGTTGGTAGTGGATCAGGTGATGGCTATGGGGTGATTATGCTTTTTTTGTTTATTCACAGGATATTTTCTGAGCTCAACAGCACAGAAATGCACCTTCTTATTGTCAGGGGGATAAACCTACCAGCTCCTCCAGGTGTGTACTCGAAAGGGCAGGGGGGCTCTTTCCTCTGAGTAGGTGAGGGAAGTAGTGGGGAATGAGATTTCTCTATCTTGAAGACACTTTAGGAGTCAAACCTTTGTAGCCAACACTCATTAAAACAAAATAACCAGGTTTGGGGCTCAAGCCTCCCCAAAAAAATTTTAACAGTATTTTAAAAAGCAGACAGAGAATCTGGGTTCCATCTGGACAGAGGGGAGAACTTAAAATTGTTCTGGGTTCACTCATAACGGGGTCATAGTTTGTTTCCTGGTTATTTCCTGTTTTGTTATGAGTGCCTGCCTTAAGATTGCACCACCTTGATGTGTTCTGACCCTTCAATAGACAGGATCCTGCCAATGTTACTGCCTTTAGTCCTCGTTCTGGGAGCTTGTGAGCCCTCTGTGCTAGACTGTCTGAGGACTGCCTAAAGAAAAGCAGGTGTTTTCCTTTGGATGCCAGCTTTCTATGGATTTGGGTTTGATGGGTGGATTTTTCAGTTGCCAAGAGACAGGACATGAGTGCTGCTGAAAGCCAGTTATGTGCTCTTGAAAATCCTGCTCAGCATTCCAGATGCAATGGCAATCCCTGTATTGGCTGTTTGGGTTGGCTTTGTCTCCCTCAGGTGTGTCCCCCAGAGATCTGGATGCCTTTGTGAAGTTTGAATTCCAGTACCCAAGTGCGGTGAGTGTGTCCTGGCTCTGCTGTTCCTCACCCCTGCCACTGCAGGAGCCTTTGGGGGCTCCAGGGAAAGGGAAGACACTCGTAGGCATCCTGCCTGGAATTACCTTCAAAGCAGATTTGTTTTTCTAGGGAACAGAACTACTGAATCTGTTTCTGCAGGTGATGTTACAGGGGAGAGGGGCCACCTCAGGTGTGATCTGCCTCTGAGTCCCTTCTAAAGGCATTGCTTTGGGGCATCTCTTCTAATTAGAGAAATGGATTGAAAGGGTTAGTCATTGTCATCAAATAAAAGCATGTGGCTCCTGGGGATTTAATTATCAAATATAAATGTGAGTATCTGGAGAAAGGACTTGGGCCATACAAGTTTCTTGGCCTTAGTAATTAATACCTGTGTGTGTGTGCATGTATGTATGTGTACATATATAAAAATATCTATACACATATATATCACTTCTTTCCTTGGAATTCCCCAGTGTCTTCCCTTCACCTTTGAAAACAGTCTCTGGTCTGAAAAATACTCAAACCTTAGAACTGGGAGGGCACCTGAGGAGGGGCTGACTAGTCTTACTGTCAGTAGAAGTGCTGGGGCTTTGCTGCTTTCTGTGTAGTGCAGAACCAAACCTTGCTCTTACAGGACCAATGCTGAGCCCTGGGAGAGTGCAAAGCCTGGACTTTTACCTCCTAATAAATTTTGCAGTAGTTCCAGTATAATACATTCAATTACCTGTGGGAAATTGGTGATGGTCAGAGCAGGTTTGTGTTTCAGTTTGAGTTACTCAAGGCCTTAACAAAGGAGTCACCTCATCAGGCTGGCTGGAAACAGAATTGATCTATGTGAATAATTTTCTGTGAAATAAGTAAGAATCGGCATAGTTGCTTTTAATCTATTTTCCTTTGCTTAAAGAAAAGCAGATCTCTGCTGCTTAGCCAAAAGTCAAATACACCACCTTTCTCCTTCATAGCTGAAATCAGTTTTGCAAAGTAGCTGCAATAATTAGGTCACATTGTCCTTGTTCATTCCCCAGAGATTTAGTTTGTACTCTGCTTTAGGTTAAAAGTTAATTCATTTTGGTGGCAGATTGATTGTCAGGCAAAATAATAGTAGGGCAATTCCCTGAATGATTTGTGATGAATTCCTTGTGTAGCTTATTATTCCAGCTAATGCAGGAGGACCAGAATTACGGTGTCGTGGAACGTGCACAGTTTGTCATGGAGTGTAACAGCCACACTCAGGGACTTCATGGGGACTGCACTGAATTGACTGTGACCATTTAACTTATCTGGGGCTCTTATATTTAATGTAATGTTTTGGCTTATTCTTTATATAGTGCTATACTTGTTACCACAATGAAATCCAAATATTTTAGTCTTGAATGTACCAAATCTCTTCTTATCGTTCAGATAACCCCCTAAAACCTCATGTTTCTTGTATAGGCATAAAGTAGAGCTGATAATAAAAGTGGTCACTACTCTGTATTTTAAAACAATAACTGATGGATTTATGTAATGTGTGTCTCTTTTTTTAATAGGAACAACCTCAAAAGAGTAAAACACCTGTAATTAACAATAACAATTCTCCAGGTGAGTACTTTTTTTTTTGGAACAGTGAGAAAAACATTGTACCTTAAGAACTCCTGGAGAGTACAGGCTGGTCTCATCCTGTGACTCAGCCCAGAGGGCCTGCCACCACCTGTGTTCTTCTTTCTTATAAAGGGTTTGTTGTAGGGTGAAGTCCAGCTGCACTGGCCATTTTTTCACCCTCATCCCAACATTGGTGGTGGTTATTGTGTCCTGGATTAGTGAAATCATGGAGTTACCAGTCGTGCTCCAGCTGTTGCTGTCAACTCTGCTGGCAGATGGGCCAGATAAATAAATTTTATTTATTAAATAAGTTAAATGATTAATTTTAACATCTCCATGGATCAGATATTTTTCAGTCAGACTTGATAGTGCCAGTTCTGTCATGATTTTGGCTGATCAGCTGATGTTTCTAAACCTGACAAAGCATCATTGCAGAAAGAGGTGATTTTTTTTTTTAAAGACAGCGTGTCTTGAAACCAACAAAAACACTTCCCTTGTACCTTTTGAAAATCCCCCTTTGGCCTTGCCATGGAGTACAGGTATTAGACTCATCATGCCTTTTAGAATTAATCCTCTTGCACTCTTGAGTTGATTTTATTGCTCTATTATTTTTTTCCAATTCTTGCAGTGAGCAACCATTTAGTATCAGAACAACTTTGAATTCACTATCTAAATTACTAGTTACGATTTTATCTCAAAAGAGATACATATATAGATATATATCTTTTGAGTTTATATATATTTTCTGTTAAGATTAGAAGTCCTGAAGGTCTGACACTGAGAGCTGTGTTCCAGATCTTCCAGGAACTTGCTCTGCACTGGCTGAGCAGCCCCTTGGTAGTGTTTGGGGTTTCCAGGCTGGCAGGCACAGGTGGTTTTTCCTGGGTAGCAGAGCAGATAAGTCTTGGAGCATTAGTCGTACAATCTTGTGAACCTTTCTGATCAAAAGGTGGCACAGTTCTTGCCACACTCATTAATGAATTTGATGCTGAAACAGTATTAATTACATAATCAAAACACCCCTTCCCAGTCATTCCAACCTTACTGTTCCTTTTCCTTATTATTTAGTACCTTTTTTTTATCCACAGACACTCTATTTATTTGCTGAAAAACCTAAATTTCCCAGTTTTGACTCTCCAGTAACTTGCTGTAACATGGGGGTGCCAGGTGAGCTGCAGCACAGGGACACACCTTGGGAATGACTGGAAGAGGCTCCTGAGGAGGAGTTCATGTGGTGTGAAATGTCTCTCACAGATGGACCAAACTGAGATCAGAGTCTGAGGAGTGCATATAACAGAGCACTGCACATTCCCAGCTTTCTCTCGTTTCTCTTTCCCTGAACTGCAGAATACAACCAGCTGTTCAAGTTGAACATCAACCGGAATCACCGCGGCTTCCGCCGAGCGATTCGGTCCAAAGGGATTAAATTCGAAGTATTTCACAAAGGGTAAGTCCTTGGTTTGCTTCCCCCTCACTGCTGCTCTAGGAACAGCTGGAAAGGGTGTTGGAGCTGAACTTTGTGCAACACAGTCTCTAAGCTGGCAATAAAGAGTTGGCTGGTTCTCATGTCTGAGAACTTTCAAAACGTGCCTGAGCTCTGTAGCTTCCCCTGTGGGGGTGAAAAAAAGGCACAAGTTCAGTGAAGCTGATTCATAACTGACAGAGGAGTTGAGGATTAATGTGTTAAGAGGAATTGATGAGATGGAGAAGGCAATGATCTACTTCCAATTGTTTTGATTCTTATCCAGTTTTTTTTTTTTAGTCATCAGGATTAGAAAATGTAAATGTTCCATGGGATAACTGACAGAACATTGACATACAAGTGGCAGCAAAATATGAACAGCAGTAAAGCAGATGACAGATGATGGCAGAACTAGTGTTCTGGTTTTGTAGTTATATTGTTTCATTCACTGGATCTTGCAGTGTTTCCCCAGCACTGTTCTCAGGCTGTTAGACTGTCTTGAGACTGCCCTCATCTTAGGGAGCAGGACAATGAGGTGGATGTTAACAGTGGATAGTTCAGGGAAATCATCCTCTCTCCAGGCTCATAACTGGGTTACTCAAAATCAGAGTGGCCTGTATTCCCTAATCCCTGAGTTGGTTGTGATCCATGACTGGGCTGGGATGTTGGATAACCTGGTGTTGTCTCAGTGGCTTTTTGTGCCGTTCTTTGTTTCTGTAGGTTCTCCAAGATGATTTTTAAGTTGTAGATGTTTTAATTTGTGAGCTGAAGTCCTATTGTTTTACTCCAGATCATCCCTTTGCATCTCTGTTGAAGAGAGAAAAGCTGATTTTCTTACTTTTTTTTTCTGTCAGTCCTGACTGCTCCACTCTCTCTGTTCAGGATCTCCTTTGCTGTGAAGTGTTTACATTTGTTTAAAATGTTTTTTAATCACCTTTCCCCAACCATCTCCTTGGGAGGATGAAGTGATCCAGGCTTTTTCCTAAGGACTTTCTGCTCCCTGCCTTTCTCTAAGACTACAAACGAGAATACTTTCAGAAAGGCCTTTGTAGATGTTGTAGCTCTGGGGTCTCTGATAGCTCTTTGACCATCTCCCAAGAATTATTTGTGCTCAGTGAGCAAAGGAGACTTGTTTCAGGTCATATATATTAAACTTCAGTTTAACAACACTTTCAAGTAAAAACCCAGCAATGTATTTTTCCAAAAGAAAAGTCTCTCCTTGAGCCTCTCCTAAAAGCTTCTGAAGATAAAAGGAGATTTCCCCAGAGCTGTTTCTGAAGCCATAGCCTAGAGCAAGTTCTCATTCTTCACTTTAAACCCCCTGGAATTGATCAGGGATGAACCAGTCTTCATTGTTTCTTGAATTCTAAAAAGAAAAAATGCTTTAAAAAATTCAGCAAGAATTGCTGATCCTCTAAGTTTTGAGCAAAGTGCCCCACACACTGCAATACAGTTATGTAATCCCTCATTTTAAGGTGCTTGTGAAGTAAAGGAAGTATTCAGCATGTGAGCTAATGAAGTCTGAACTTCCCTAAATGATTTTGTGAGTCAGCTCTCATCGATGGAGAGTCTCAGTCTTCTGTTGCCACCAGTGATGTGATCATGAGGCTCCATATAAAAATCTATGGAGATTCTATTGCAAATGTCAATTCTTGCTTGATAATATCTTAATATCTCTTGATGATAAAGGAAGAAGGGTGGGTGTTTTGGGAGGTTTTTTGTATGTTGGTTTGCTTGCCTGGTTTTTTCTTCAACAGGGTGGATAAAAAAAGGAATATTCTGAATTATGGGCAGATTTCCTATCTAAAACAGAGCAGGCATGGTCAGTTGTCTTTCCTGCCTCCAGACTCTGTAGTGATAGTTTTTGACTGTTAAACTACCAGTGTGAAGGTGGATCAAACCAATAGCTGAAATGTTCCTACTTGTTGAAAATGTTTTGATTTATCAAGATGAAACAGAATGATTCATGTGACTTTTCCCTAAAAGTACTGTGCCAAAAGCAGCAGGTGCCTGTGAAATGTTTGTTTTGCTGAGAGATTCCCTTCTTGGGAAGTCCTTCAGCCTGTCCCATTAAACAGCCCTGTCCTGTAGCAGAGCATTGCCCTGTCCTGGCTGCTGGGCTTGTCTTCCCTGTCTCCCAGTGCAGGGACAGAAGCTGCTGCCACTCCAAGTGCTGGTTTAGTGGGTTGTTCTTCTTCACTGCTGTCCTCATCTTTAACTTGGCTGCAGGAGAATAATTAACAAATGAGTGTTTCCTTATCTTGTGCCTTGTAGTCTGGTGTGTTATGGGTTTGCCTCTTGCCCCCAGGTTTGTAGCATGTCCTGCCCAGCCTTCCTGGATGTGGTTATGGAGCAAATAGTGATGACTCTGGGCTTGTTTTCTCTTTAATGTCCTGACAATCCTTTCCCTTCACTAAGGAAGGTTTCTTTGGAACAGGTCCTTTTTCAGGAGTGACAAGCAGGTGGGGACAGCACACTTGAAACTGGACAAGCTGGAATCAGAATGTGAAGTTAGAGAGATCATTGAGGTATGTTTTGGGGGTGAGGTGTCTTCTTCTACTTAACATTTAAACACGAAAGGGAAATGAATATTTGGATAACTGTGTGTGTACAGTGGGCAGTTTTGTATCAGATGAGTTGGTACCTTGCCTGGGATGTGGGGAGACCTGCTCTGCTGAATTATTATCCAAGGAATCTCATGGCTGTGACTCCTCCCAGCACTGCAGCTGATCCCTGCAGGTGATCTCTGTCACCTTTGGATCATGGGCAGATACATTCAAGGATGCCTGAGGCTCTGCACTCTGACATTGTAATTCATATGTGCACTAACTGCTCCTTCTTTTTGTGGTTCTTCCAGATTTTTGATGGCAGGAAGCCCACTGGTGGGAAACTGGAGGTAAAAGTGAGACTCAGGGAGCCCCTCAGTGGTCAAGATCTTCAAACAGTTACAGAAAACTGGCTGGTCCTGGAGCATTAGTTCTGTGTGAGGTACAAACGCTGCTCCAAAGGGGGTCTGGGCGGGACCTGACAGGGCTACAGATAAACTCTGCTTGAATAATGTCTCGTGTTGACATTGACCTAATTACACAGCTCTGGCTTCAATACCATTCCTCTTTGTATTTGTGGTGGGGAGTTGACATAATTTCACAAATGAGGTTACAGAACCTCTGATTAGTTTATATCTCAAAGATGCTTCACAATCACTTGAAATACAGGGACAGCTTCTGGTGTCACCTTTACTTAGAATAATACTTACAAAATAAGATTGATAAGTGATCTGTCTTCCTTTGCTTGATCTCCCAAAGCCTCTGTGTTCCCTCTTCCTTAGCGCATTTTGGTTTGTGGTTATAAATGGGAGTTAAGTGAATATTCATCAGCTTCAGGGTGACATCACCTGTTTGCCACAGCTTTGCTTCCAAATGCTGTTGAATTGGACAGGTTGAGAGGTCTTGTTTCAGTGCATGAGTCTGAATTTGGGCACCAAAGGGACTCTTTTAGTGGTTTCCTCTCAGCCAAGGAGGTGGGGAAGGTCCTGTGAGCCTCAGTCAGCTGAGGGACGTGTTACCTGAAGTAACAACTTGGCCTTGTGCCGAAACACTTTCCATCACTGAAGCTTAATAATTTTGCTCCATTGATTTTTCTAGTTGACCATCCAGAACCTTCATGTCAGCATTTTACATGTAATGTCACCTTGAGTTGTGACCATCTGTTATATACTGCAGCAACTAATTTTGATGGGTTTTGTGTGTTTTTTTTCCCCAGATCCATTGGAATGTCAGAAGCCGTGGGCTGAAGGAACGTAGAAGATGCTGCTAAGCTGCAAGCACCAAAGATGTTAAAGAATGCACTACTGAACCTAATGTCTATTTTGGTAACAGCCATAGTGCTTATTAATACCCTCAAGGCAAACGGGAGGCTCTGGGAAGTGCTGCTGCAGGGCTTGGGACCAGTCTACACAAAATAGACAGAGTTGCCTTAATGTGGGACTACTAATGTAGCACCAGGACGAATGTTACATTAACTATGCAGAGTGCTGTGGGAGAAGTTTAGCCCCTTAAGAATTCCCTGAGACAGTGCAAGAGCTTTTTGGTCAAGTCACAGGTAAGACTTTCACCAGAATTCCTTTTTCCAAGTGTCCGAGCAGCTGCTGCGGTTCAGCGAACAGTCTGCTACTGCTTTTTCTGTTCTCTCCTGTCCAGGCCTGTTTGGGTTGGGTTTTTTTTTTTGTTTCCTAAAACAGGAGAGATCTCAGGCAGCAATTTAGGGGTGTGAGTCCTTCCTCTGGGCATGCCCTTGGCACCTGAGGTTCCAAAGGCTGCAGGGCTCCTTGGCAGCAGGTGTTTACAGACCCACATTTTTGTTCTGGCTACCAGTTGTCTGCCGTGCTTGCTGCACTGCTTGTTCAGCACAGAAGGGTACTGTGCCTTCATCCTTTGTTTTGTTGAGGTTTTAATTTAAAAAAGAAGAAGAAAAAAAAGTACACTAAACTCTGCTGCTTCCCAAATGTTCCTTGTCTTTTTACAAGAATAGGCTTTTAAAATTCTTCCAGGTGATGGGAAAAATAGTCATTCTTTGTCATGTAGAAGACTGGATCATGACTTATTTTCAGGAATGCTTTTGATCAGCACACAAAAAGTGGTACTAAATCTGTTTGTGTTTTTACATCTCTCTGAGTGAACAGAAACCAGGGATCTGCCAGGACAGGATGTGCCTGTGCTGGGAGCCGAGTGCTCCTGCCCAGAGGGTTTGGAAGGGCAGGTTGGGAGACAGGACAGAGTCCAGACAGGTCAGGCAGTGCTGCCTCTGTCCTTCTGAGCAGATGAAGACAATACAGTGTTTAGTTTTTAATTTCAATAAATTTAATATACAAAACTACATGTTGAAAATAAAAATATAATATGCAGTTTTTTGCAGTGTTAACTAACTGAATTTTAAAAGTACAATTTTTTTCTAAACAAGTACTCATTTCTTAACAACATGGTAATTAAGGTCATTTCAAAGGCTATGGTTGAAGCAAACATGTCAGTCACCAGTTGATAGTGTTTTGCACAAACATAATCCAAACCTAAAAGACTTCTGGGGCAAAGGAAGAGAAGATAAACATTTTTCACCTCTTTTACTCCATTATTGAGCATAACAATGCAACTAAAGTGACTGGAAAGCCGCTGCTGTGGCAAAGCTGGAGTGCAGGCTCTAGGAGGAAGTATTTCCGAGTTTCTGGAATGCTCTTCCAGGTGCTGAATGGTGCCTACACCGTGTAGTGCTGTGTGACCCAAAGTGCAGGACCAGCGTGCAGAGGGGGATCCAAGTGCCCTCAGCCCAGCTGGGCTGCACAGACACTTCAGCAGGAGCAGTGGGGGGGTCACAGTTTAGGCTTTGCCCAGCAGGAACCATTAAACGAGCTGCATTAAGCCACCTTCTCCCAATGCCAGAGGTAAGGCTTCACTTGGATGAACACCCTTTCAAGTGTGGGAGTGGGCTACCTCTTGCTGGCCAGCTTTTGTTTGTGGAGTTGGCCCCAGTTCCCTTGCCTGCCTTCTCCAAGGGCTGGGTGGTACCAGCTCTAATTTGGAACATTGGATTTGTCAGACTTTGCTTTTTTTTTTGAAAAGCAGTAGCCATTTATTCCCAAATGTACTCTGTGCAGGCATTGGGCTATGTGCACATCACTATGTGCAGTTACCTTTTCTCTTGCCCAGCCAGTGGTGTTTATTTGTTTAAAAACTAGAGCCTCAGTCTCCCAGGGGCCTTGCACTCCCCTTTCCCTGGGAAAGGATGCTGGTGTTACTCAATCACAGCACAACCAAACCAGGCCCTGCTGTCTCCCCCAGAAGGGACAACAAGGAGGGATCAGGCAATGTCTGACACACCATAAATGTTCACCATAAATGTTCATCATAAATTAGCACCTCTCTTCCCAAATAAATTACCTCTGTAGACAGGAGGAGAAACCTTCACCCCTCTTCCTGGGAAGGACTCACAAGAGCTGCTTTGCATGACTATGGCTAAACAAACCAAACCCCTTCTCCTGCTTACAGCTCTTCCCACTGGTTAGCAGCTTTCCATGGAGACAGTAAGAACATGGAACCACATTTCCTCTGGCTGATGCTCAATTCCAGCTTCTTAATGCCCTGGCAGACATGAGCAGCTGCTTTCCTTCCCAAAGCCCTCCCAGGTGAGACTAAGAGCACTGGGCCAAGTGCAGGTGTTCAGAGCTGCCCACAAAGCCTTTTTCAGCAGAACATGCAGGAACAGCCACTCTACACTGTTACACAGGTAAGCTCTGACAGGGGCTGCAGGATGAGGTGCAAGCTGGATACGTGACACGGGCGTTACACTACCGGGAACAGCAGGGAGGGGACACAGCTGCCCTGGGTGGTGCTTGGCTTTAGAAAGCAGGACCTACTGGGGGGAGGAACGAGATATAACTGCACTTTAGGGCTAATGTTACCTCTGCTTCATACAGATTTGTAAACAAGGTACAGAAGAGCAGAGTTGTTCTAGGACATTACAAAACCTGCCGAGGTGAGGGACTTCATGGTAACTAGAGGAACAAAGTAAACCAGCCTATTCCACACACACAACTGCAGGTCACAGAACCTTGGGAGAGATGCCTGTCCTTCAGTTCCTCTGGACACAGACAAAGGGAGTTATGGCTGGGGAATCCTTCCATAGTTCTCAAGGGCTTCTCCAAATGTATTTCAACCAATAATCTGGTCAAAATAATGTAAACGTTACTGTTCAGTGTCTGCAATACCCACGAAGGTTGTGATGAGGTCAGAATGGAGGGCTTGGCTGTTGGTTCTTACATGGCCATCTACAAACACTACAAGGTTGGAGTTTCACTTTTTATTTATGCCCCAGTGATCTTTGCACCCTTTTGAGCATTGAGAGTACAGGACTGTAAGTCTTTAAACATGAACATTTTTCTAAACAGTAACAGAAGTGGATTAGCTGCAAGGATAGCATAGCCATGTTGTAGTATAGAAGCTGCCCTGATCCTCTGGTTGTTGACAATGCATAGAAGATTTAGAATTATGGAACAACTGTCCCTCCCCCCTCCCCCCCTTCCCCAATAGTGTTAACAAAAGCTTAATATTCCAGTTTTAAAGTGCAAATGATTCAGATACAACTGCTGCTGGAACAGGTCTGAACAGAAAATGAAGTCCTCTTATGAGATGTTTTCCAGAATATAAAAGATGAGCTCCATTATGACTGGCCCCTCACTCAACTGACAGGCCCCTCCATGAATCACTGGCACTAAGGCACTGTCCAGGTCATTCATGTATTGAGAGGGCAGTGGCTGTCCATTGCTCCCAGCTTGGTAACCAACCTAAAAAATACAAAGTAAGAGCGGGTTTTAAGAGGGCCATGAGGCTGTGAGTCAGTAGGCAGGGAGGGAGGAGCAGCTGTGGTCTCTGCCTGAGGAGTTGGTGCTTGAACTTAGTGCAGGCACTAAAGCAGCTTTTCCACTTGTTTTTGCACTTCTGTTTCCTATGGCTGCCTGGGCAAAAGAAGTATCTTCTTTCTACTGCTTTGCCAGAGCAGCTCACTGAGAAGCAGCAGGACCCACACTCAGCATTATCAGCTTAAGCTGTGCAGTGTTTAGGAGCTGGGTGACACTAAGCCCAGCTGCTCCCAGCCCAGCCCAGCTGTCCTTTGGGACTCAGCTCTGCTCAGAGCTGTGGCTGTGGAGCCCTCCAGGGGACCTTCTGTCCATTCCTTGGCCTCAAATGCAGAGTGGGATCTTTTAGGAGCAGCCACCTTGTGAGTAATGGTTTGTGCTCACACAGGAGCATGTTTAATACGCTCCTGTCTTGAATTGCTGGTGAAAAGGCCACTTTAGAGCCTTCTCGGAGCACAGAGGAGGTGCTGCTCGTGCCATATGGGGGTCAAGCCTGTGCTAATTCAGGCTGGGCACTGGCTTTCCAGCTCTAACAGATGTCCCAAAACACCAAACAACGCCAGCACCACCTGATTAGCATCTGCTATGGGTACTTCTTCAACATTCTGGTTAACGTGCTGTATTCCCTCTTTGGGGAACAACCCCCCAGTTAAACCAAACCTATTCAAGACTTACTTGATCTGAGTCCAGTGTGACGCGCAGACCCAGCTTAGTCATTCCATCTTCTTTCAGCAGTTTCAGATGAGGACACAGAGCCAGACAGAAAGCCTTTGCCACGTTTTCAGTCAGTCTGCTGTGATCAGCTGGGTCACTCAGACCGTTGTGTTGCTCATCGTTTTCAAGAAAAAACACCTTAAGGGAAGAGTTAACACAAGACATAACACTTGGCTTTTCTAGAAAATTGGGTTACTGACATGCCATTTAAACTTTTACAAATGAAGACTTAAAGAAGAGCTGTTCAGAGAAGGCCAGCAAAAGCCCCTGAAGACAAGGCACCTTAGGGGGGAAAAAAATAAAAAAACTTCAGAAGAAAGATTTAAATAGTCCTGTCCTCTGAGATCTGGTCAAAAGCCTCACTATGGAAATTCACTATGTATTGCACCAAGTTTTAATGAAAAACTGCTTTTAAACAGATGGTAATTTCAGAAACATTACATTTTTAGCAGAAGCCTGAAGATCTGAGCTACTGTTGCCACTGAACTTGTCTCTTTTGAGCCCCTCTGACCTGGGAAAAAAAAGGACACATAGGTGGCAAGCTGCAGAGTGACACACTTGAAGAAATCTTTTGATATCAGCATTTGTGTGCTAGCAGAGTCACAGGTAACAAACATCAGCTGTGCAAGCATTTTGAAGTGATTGATGCCACAGCACTTTCATTTTAACATGAACCATTTCAGAGAAGGTGGCTCGAAATAACATTTTTAAAAAACAATTTATATTAAGATTTGTCTCCGTGTAAAAAGGCAGCTTTTAACTCAAATGCAGATGAAAGCAGCTGTTCCCTTGTGTAATGCAGTCACCAAGGGCTGTTCTTGTCCCCCCGTTCCACACCCCTGTCAGCAGAGGGGGCCAGAGCAGCACAGGCTGGGGTAACAGCAGTGGGAGGATGTTGTATCCTGGCACGGCATCTGCCCTTGCAGCCAGGAAAGGCAACACAGGATTGTTCTGGAGCATTTGCTACTCTCACTTTGGTGAGTTGGGTGATCAGGTCCGAGGCAGAGGAGGCTGTGGTTGCAGCCCCAGTGCTGCTGTTGGCTCACGTGCAGTTGGGTGTGACAGACTCACCTCTGTCCACCGAATGACCTTCCCATTGGCCTTGTACTCTGAGCCATGGAATATCTTCACGCTGGTTATGGATTCCATGGATTTGCCATCAATAGGGCTCACAACGCTGCAAAAGGGAGGGAGAAGGGTCAGTTCCCATGCAGCAGAAGACACGAGCTGGGCAGAGCCCACTGCAGGAGAGAACTGCCTTGGAATCAGGGCAGCCCCTGAGCGGGGTCACGTGCACAAACCAGCTGCTCATTTCCAACAAAGCTGCTCTCCAGAGCTGGGGGCCCTGAGATGCTACCACTGCAAAGAGGAGTTTCACACAGATTGGATTTCTGTTCATTTGTAAACTCTGTAGGCCAGCAATACCTGAAACACGACTTACACAGCCCAGGATTTGGTTACAGAACCCAAGACTGATCTGGAGAGCCTGAAACTACAGAAATACCCTTTCTAGGTGCTGAGTCCTTCCTTAAATATCAAATACATCCCAACAGCACTTTACTGACATAAATACTTAAGCTGCCAAATCCACCTTTCTTTTGGCTTAAGTATCAAGTGTCCAAAGATACTGTTGATGTTCAGCAATTTTATTTCCAGCTCTACTTAATGCAAACGAAGCTCTAAGAGAGCAAAGTGACCACACTGTGCAGGGTTCAGCACTGAGTGTTGGACACAGATTAGTGGTTTCCAATAACTGGATATTGGCAATGGCAAAAAATCCATAGCATTGGCAATTTTCTAAATTGATGCCCCAAAGCTCTGGTATCTCAATTCCATTTTCATGACAATTAATTGCATCTTATCACTCAAAAGAGAGGCACAGAGTTTTAATTCCTATTGATTTGAAAACTCATGTGCCTTGTAAGATCAATTAAAAATTTTAACAGAATCGGTCACCAGTGTCAAGTGACTGCTCTTCTACTTACCCCTTACTAAAGTTTTTGTCATCTTCTACCCACTGAATATGAACGTGTTCCTGAGGGTCTTCAGCATCCACTTTGCCACAAGTGATGGTGAAGTCTTTCATTTCTCTCAAGGCCTGCCTCAAAGAGTCCATGTTCTCAGCAGTTATCTGGACCATCACTCCATCTGGGGAACCAAGAAATCCTCATAAGCCAAGATAAGCCACATCAAACAGAGCCTACATAGGAAAAAAACCAAACATCCTTCCTCTGCTTGCAACACAAAGGTTTAATGTTCATTTTTAGGCATCATTGGCAGCAATGCTCTGTAAAACCATTTCTGAACTCTCATCTTCCCAAAACGCAGCTCTGCTGAGTGCTGACTAGGCAAACAAGAGTCAGGGCAAGGGCAGCTCCCAGGTGAAGTCAGCTACAGCAATGGCCACAGGAGTTTGCCTCAAAACTTGACACCTGCTCTAGGCCACCCTCAGAAACCCCAGGTGACCCCCCTCCATTCTGCTGTCACCGCCGTTGGCACTGGAAGCAGTGACAGTGTTTGAGAAATCAGGGCTTGCCTGCCAGTGGCAACAGATACAGAACTTTGGATTCATGGAATTATTATGTTTGAAAAAGACCTCCAAGATCATCGAGTTCAACCGTTAACCCAGCACAGCCATTCATGTTCACCACTAAACCACATCTCCAGACCAAATTAGGGCAGAAATGACTTAGAAGTGAAACGTTTACCCCATGTACAGACTGAATCCACCTGTACCTCTGTCTCACACTAATCCCCAGTTCAGACCCAGGAAATGGCACAAAGACCTGCACACAGTGTCTGGCAGAGGGGTGGCTGCCTGTCAGCCCTGGTGACCCCCAGCCATGGCTGCACACTCACAGCTCCTCCATGGGGCTGTGCCCACTGCCTGACATGTGGGCATCTCCCATCTCTCACCACAAGCCATAAGGAGAACTCCTAACCCACTCCTGTCTGCACTGTCCCAGCTACAGGGAGGTGACTGCACAGCTGTGCAGCTCAGGCACTAACAGCTCCCAGCCCAGCATATGCCACCAGCAGCTACTCCTCTATTCCTGTGATCTGACAACAAACCACATCAGAGAGGTACCAGCTCAACAATCTCAACTTGTCATGTTCTCATCTGCCCACACACAAGCACATAAACAATGCACACTCCTAACCCTGCACACTGCAGAGCAGTGGGTAGCACAGGAAGTTCAGCAGGGTTTCCTCTTCTGCTTGGTGGGTTACACATTCCATATATCTTAGGCTCGTGATTTCCTCATTCAACCCAAACCAGTGAACCAGTTACAGGCTCCCAAGCCAGGTATTTCATATCTTACCCTCATCTTCTTGTGACCCTGTTTTACAGCATCTGCACAAGTTCCTCCTCATTAGAGGAAACAAGACGTTTTTTGCTAAAAAGTAGGATAAAGCCGAAGCAGCAGGATGATCCCAAGACCCAAGGCATAGGAGCAGAGCCCTGCTAGCTGCAGAGCTGAGCTGTGCTAAGAGGAAAGCAGTGTGTTTTAAGAAGCAGTTCAGTTCTTACCTTCCACTATACTGGATTTGGCAAGGTAGCCTGAAGAGGATTTTAAAGCTCCACTGAACACAAAGAAGCTGGCACCAGTCACTGTAACAACAACAACAGGAGAGGGTTAGTGAGGCTTTTGTAAAGCAATGCCTTACACAAGAATCAGGTATCACAGCTCTATCAGCCAGGGAGGTGATTAACCTAAATCAGGACAAATGCTGCTTGGAATTATGGTGACTGTATTGCACATCATAGGCTTGGATATGCAAAGGCAAATCACCCAGTTTGTTTCTAAACTGGACAACAGTTTTTGTCAAGCTTAATGAATGCTCCTATTTCATCACTCTCACTCTCCCTGCCTAAACACCTCTAAATTTCAGAATTACTAATTTTGGGTGACCAAGTACATAATTAACTTCTAAGTGTTCCCACACAGCTGGCAAAGACTGTGTGAGCTGTTTATGGATTGCACTGTAACACCAACCCACCAACCAAGGCCACAGCTCAGAGCCATCTGACAAAGTAAAATTATCCTAAATGACTACTAAGCATCATGAAATTCCTGCTGGGAATCCCTCTTCTTGTCCCATACGTGAAGTTAACAGAAGTCAGACAAGACCGTCAGTCCTGAGTGACATCCCATGCCAGGGTACTCACTGGAATGACTGGGGATACTTGCAAAACACCAGCGTCAGCCTCTGTCTTGTTCTTATTTTGAGATTGTATAAATTTCTTTGCCAGAAATGTTCCCCATATCCACATTTAAATTCTCATCACACTGCTGCTGCAGCCTTTCAGCCTACTGTAACAAAAATATAGCCTGGAAATCAGATGGTCTAATTAAGGTGAACATGAGAAGTTTCCTGAAGCTGCATTATTAAAATGCTGCTGCTGTTGTTGGTTATTCCTATTTGCCTTTCTCTCATACTAAATCTGATCTTCTTCCTTTCACATAGTGTAGGTCAAGCACAGGCAACCACAACCTCACCTGCACCTCCAATAATGCCAAAGCCAGCTCATTATTAATGGAGAGGTGTTGCCTAAGCCAGTTCCAACACCGTGACCTCTGGAGCACTACAAGTCCTGAGCTGTCCTGTGCCAGCAGCATTGCCACAGGGACAAGGGAGGAACTGCTCTGTGCTTTATTTTCTGTTTGCTTCATCTCTGAAGTTGCTAAAACACATCTCGGGCAAAGTCGGAACAGCACCACTGACCCACAGAAGTGTGATGTGGGCTGCACACAGCCTGCAAAGCAGCGTGCCCCTGACACCTGAGCTCATGGGTTCTGCAAGGGGAATAAGGCACCAAGGGGTGAAGGGCAGATGGGGCAATATGTTACTACTCCTCACGTTGCAGGTCCAACTCACAGAGCTGCCCAGCAGTAACGCCAGCGCTCAGAATGATTGTCTCTAACAGAACCAAACCCAGCTGCGACCGATTCCCAAAGCCCCACAGCGCTGGGACAGCAGCACCCAGGCAGAGCTGAGCCCCTCTCACCCTTCCTGGGCTGGTTGTGGATGCTGATGGCCTGTGTCTGGTAGTTCCCATCATCGTTCTGCACACACACAAGGTGCGAGTCGGCCTTCTCATTGAAGCAGGCACCCCCCGCCAGCACGTGCTCGTTGGATTTGTTCATGGCTTTCATCATCTGCAAACACAAAGGGTTAACATTCCCACCCAGTTCAGCAGGCACTTCCAGAAACAGGTGGTTCTTGGAGCTGTTCAACTGAACAGGGCAGGCTTCCCAACAGTGCTCATGTCCCACATCAGGTTTCAGCACTCGGAACCACAAACTGCTTTTGACAAGAGGGTTCAGGTCTTTTGCTGCCTGGATTCTTTAAAGTGCCAGCTTTTGTGCCATTAAGATAAATGCTGTAAGGGATAGCTGAGCTATGGAAGTTGCGAAAGGTGTTCTCTCTAACCTGTTTTTAAAAATACACAGAAAAAAACATTAGAAAAACCCTGGGAGGAAATATCTGGTTTGTTTACACAACTCCAGTTGCTTAGGACATAAATCATAAATGCCACATGGGCACTCAGACTGGGGCCATTTCATCCTGTTCTGCCAGGACCAGACACCAAAGCTTCAGTGTCTCTCTGAATGAACTGGTGAAACTGGAATTAATGTTCCCAGGTAAAATACTTTTCTAAAAGAATCCAAATCATAGATATCCAGAAAGAATTTTAATTCTCTGCAAAGGAGGCCCCCAGAAAGCATCCAATAATATTTGTGATGCCTCTGCCCTTCAGTTTTGCTGCTTATCATCTGACATACACCAAGTTACATGCCTTGGCAAAACAGTCTTGTACATTATATAGTTCCTTTCCTTCTCTCCACTCTACCTCTTCAGGCAGGCACAGACTATGTGATTTTTGATCCAAAAGAAAACGGAGGGAGTCATCTAGCTCTGGAATTTGTTTCAAACCCGAAAATGACATGTTTGCTTAAAAGAAAACAAGTCAAACTGAATTACACAAATTCCCCCACAGTGAAAACCCTGGCAAGAAGGAAAATGCAGAATTATTTGACATCTCTGAGCAGCACTTAAACTCCCACCCTCTCCTTCCTGGAGCTGATAAGCATTCAGGCTACACACAACACATCTGTCTCCCTCAGTCCAACACAAAACTTTAATTATAGTGTCAGGAACATTAGCTGATGCTCACTACTGACAAATGTGCACAGGTGTAATGTTTGGGGAGGAAACTTAATTACGAATTTGCATCAGACAACAGTGTATTTCATTATCCAGTCTATCATGTCATGCTCCAGAAAGAAGGTTTTAGCTCCAGGACAGCCATCTTTGTGGAGCTCAGCAGTTGCCTTCAGCACAACTGGACATGGCAACTGTGCTTCATTAGAAGGCAACTGATTAAGAAATGACAGTCACCTTTGCTGAGGGACTAAACATGCAACGAAGGATCACTGCAAGTTGTAGAAAATTTAAATAATTTGAAGACAAAAATATGTATTTATAGAAAACTACATATTAATGTGTAATTTGTTAATTACATGCTGAATTCTCCACATTTAATCCATGCATGAGATTTTAAATGAGGTTTTAACTTTTGAGATAGTTTGAGTGACAGTCTTTTCTAATTAAATACTGCTTTACATGGGAAAAAAAGTAAATGTCTTGTGGTCTAACTCATCTTAATTTAAACTAAACTCAGATAAAAAATTTCTACTAAATCAACCTTTCAACTGGATCACAAGCAAAATGTTAAATAAATAACGCTTTCTCAATTTAAAAAGTTGAATCCTTGCTTGACACTGGAAAGAAAACCCAAGCACGAGGCAGAGGTTTTGCTATTATGTTCCCTGACCCAGAAAGTCCCTCCCAGCCCTGCTCAGTCAGTGTGTGACACAAGTGGAGCTGACACCTTGCAAGGCCAGGCAGGGCTGGCACTGAACTGCAGGCTGTGCCAATCCAGACTGAATTCACACAAACCTCCCTGACCTCCTCCATTCTCTCACAACTGCATCAAAAATTAAAACACCTTTTAACAGACCCTTTATCTTCTCCCTTCATCAATTTCATCTTCTTCAAACTTCACGTAAGAACACTTTGTCTTTTTTCCCCAATGAATTTCTTTATTCTCACATATTTTACTCAAATGTTTCTTGCAGGGGAATTCCCTCTTGAGATAAAGCTGCATTCTGCTCTGATCTTACAAGAACTCTTGTAAATACCATTTGCCTGGGAGGTTTGCTCTCTCCCCAGCTCTGATTGGTTTCAAAGTACCAAGTTACCCCCTTCTCCTCAGACAGAACACAAAATCAATCACCTTCTCCACTGTTCTCTTTCATTACTGTTCAAATATCTCCTCCCCCAGCTTTCTCAGCAGCACTAACTCCTACAGATGCTGATTGATTTTCTCACACCAAAAATCAAGTATAAAATTTAGATGTTGAGGGAAATTTTACATAAAATAATCACCAATCCAACAAATACTACAAAATGCTTTGAGTGGGAAGACACAGCATAAATGAGAAAAGCTAATGCTTTTTTTCTTCCTAGTTTACCTCGAGTGTAAAGTTTGTCAATCTATTTGCTCAAATCAAACATATTACACTTTATATGTAAACAGTTCAAAAACCTGAAGGAAAAGTGTAGGAGTTTAATTAATACTGAATGGAACTGTGTTCTTCCTGTGCAGCCACCCTCATTCACTTCCAAAAGCTCTGCGCATCCTGCACTTACTATTTGCTTTTGAGGCAGTTTTGCCTAGTGGTGGTGAATAAAATAAAAATTCCTTTAGATCCCAGGTACTCCAACCACAAAGAAACTGTAGAGAAATGTATGAATTATAAGCATTACCTCATTATATCTGTTGCTAGGAATTTTGATGCTGGTTTTTCTGACTTCCATATCAACTACTAAACCTTGGACCACAGGCAGTGTGTACTGGTAATTTCTGAAGTCCTGGTAATTAAAATAAGTTTTTAAGTTAGGCACAATGATCATCATTAACATTGGAGGTTTCATAACTACCCTGGTGACTATTAGTTAACCCATTCAAATAATTGTAATCAGTGACTGAAAGGCAGGGAGGGACAGGGACACCACAGCCTGTAACCTGTGTAATTGCAGTACACAAATGAAAACCATAATCGTGACTGTAAGTCAGTGTAAGTCATTTCACTCATTTTCTTACATCCAAATTAATTTTCTCCAGCCTTGAATATCATCACTGTACATAACACAACCTGCTCTCTGTGTTCTGTTACATTACTGGATGGAGATATTAGTTTTTCCAGCAGTGAGATTTAAGTCATGCATCAAGGAGAATTTTCTATATTGAAAATATTTGCAAAGTAGGAAGAGATAATAACTTCCCTTCAGTTGAAGCACTGTGTAATCAGAGAGCTGTGACTGCACACTGTGATGACCCAGCACTTCTGAGGAAGCAATCTGAGCAAATAATGCTCTTATTTCAACATCCAAACATCCTCCGGTGGCCAGGTTTAGGATGTTGATTTAGGTACCTGGTTACAATTCACTGTGCTGATGAAAGCTCACACCCACTATCAGCACAGCAAGTAAATTCATCCAAATGCCCACTATCTCCCCTGGCATGTTCTAAACCTGATGCCACGTGCAGCAGGAGTTCAGTTCTCCCCACGCTGATGGAACTTCCATGGACGGAACACACGAATTCCACGGCAGCACTTACTGCAAGGAGGTTCATGATCGTGTGTCCAGTCTCTCCAAACAAAGGCTTACGGAATCTGACACTAAAAAGTGGGCAGGGATAAACTGGAATAAAACAAAACACAACAGGTCAGATTGTAATTTACATACCGAGATCCTGCAAACCAGACTCCAATACCACCTCCTCATCTGAATGTGGGGAGCAGCAGCTAAAGAAGAGGCTGGAGAGTCCAGTGTTTAAAAAGCAAAAGGGCGGAAGGATTTAAGGCTATAATGCATCTTCCACGTGTGTCACAGCCCCAGAAACAAGAATAATTACGTGGAAAGCTGACAAGTGCCACACTGCAGGACTGAATCTGGTGATCTGGACCCTGATGGCAAAGATGGCCTTTCTAAATGCTTTTCTGAGACTACTCCTTGGAAATGGCTTCTTCCTTTTTTTGTACAACCCTCCTGCTGCTCTCCACTGCAGCATCATAAGCCTTGCACTTCTGTAGCTGACAGGTGTGACGTTCAAGTGATAATCCATATTATTTCCTTTGCTGTTTTCATTACTTCATAAAAAGGTTGCAAGCTCTACAGGGCTATGTCAAAAACAATTAAAAGGCCATTTATGGTATGTCAGCAATGTGAAATACCTACATTCCTTGGCTGGCTTGGCCATACCTGTAAAACATCTGTGATGCAATTCCGAGGGCAGTGTATGGATCCGGCTGCCTGACGTTATGTTGCAGCAGGAGCCATCACAATGCTTGGATCATGACTCATGCAGTGATACACAGTGCCAAGGCTTCCTAAACACATGTTTGAAGGAAGGTTCCTAAACTATCCTCAGGCAAACAGTCAGTCTGATTTCCCCAAATGCCACACATCTCCACAGCTCCCAGTGTGCTCAGAAGGGGCTGCGAAGTGCTCAGCAGGTTTGAATAACATCGTGAGGATTTCCTGATGGAAATCAGCTCCAGTCTCTGCACACCGGTGCAGTGTCTGAAAGCACCACAGCCCCCACACAGCGACCAACTCGTGCTCAGTGCCCTGAGGCACCAACAAG